TCCAACATGGTACCTACATACGTTTTTATACATGTTCTTTTTAACGTTTATTGGCTGACTTTCATTAAGAATTTGCGTAGATTTTCATGTGTTTTATTTATACATTTAGATATTTGGAGATTATTTCCAGTGTCAATAGTGTAGGAACATTTCAAATCGACCGAGTTTAGATTGTTATCGACTTCTTCATAGTTCCATTGACCTTTAGCATACATAAGGTAAGTACAGCCGTTTTTTTGTGTTTGATATATGCATTATTTTGTGTGCAAGTGGTTTGCGTTTTCCGCATGTCAAATTGATCTGAAATAACTCTTCGTTATTTTGGTTGGATCGAAACTAAATGTTATAAAAGTTCAATCCCTACTAAAGTGTTTCATTTTTTTATTTTTTTTATTTTGCCTTTATTTTTGAGTGGGCGGGGTTTCAGCCAAGGCTGTTTTTCTCTCTCAGCAGGTACAACTCGGAAGAAAGAAAATCCGTTGGCACAGTATTAAAGATATCTGGTTCAGTTTCATGTTTTACTTATCCTTTTGGCGGCTAACCGACATTTTGATAGCTGTAGATTACGTAATGACTTTGAAGATTTTTCCTGGCCTTTTGAAAAATGCAACCGAGATACCGCTACATAACGGCAAACAGTTTGCTATTGAGATACTGCACCGGATAGAGGAAGATAACGATTAGGTACTCGAGGAATATTTGATTTTCAGTCGCGAAGTCCGCACATGCGCTCCTATTCATTACAGGGTGTACATTCTCAAGGCCACAAAGCCGCTCACGTAGGGTTTGTACCAATTTTGTTGTTGTTGAGTTTATGTGCCTTACATCGCAAACCGCAAAGCTCTAGCTGTCTTTTCTGAAAATTAGAAAATAAAATGAGGGTAGTTTCATGTGGACGCATTTCGCATCTCCTGACTCAATTCGGAAAGTTATGCTCCTAGTGCATGAACAGAGATCGGTCGAAAAAACCATTTTTTCATAAATTTACGGAAACCGACAGTTGAGAAAAGTAAGACTATTAAAGGAAATACAATTTTCGTCAGTCCTATTACAGATGAAAGCCGAACTTTTGGTGACAATTACACAGGGCGTTCCATTTTCGACAATTTTATAGGGCATCTCCGTAATTGTTAATAATGTCAAGGAGTGCCCTTTTTGGATCAAACTTCAAATGGTAAAATAAAAATTTGAACATTTTCGTCGAAAGCGAGGAAAACTCAAAGAATTGTCACTTGCAGATTGTTCCTATATATCTTCTCAGTTAAAAAAGATACAGAAACGTTTGTTTCAAGTGATTCATTAAAATTTCAAAAAATATATTTTAAAAATTTAAAAAAGTGATTCAAAATATTCAAAGATTTAAAAAAAATTTTGTTAATTGCTCTTTTTTGTGTTATATTTTTGAAAAGAAAATTTAATATACTATGTGTTTGGATTAAAATCGATAAGGGCCTCCACTTAAAAAAATGAAGTTAGGTCCAGTAACTTACCTGACTCCGTATACTTATTCTAAAAACGGTAGATTATTGAACAATTTATTAAAAAAACATTTTTCTGTATCTCTTTTATCTAAGAAAATACAGAGTCAGTTTGAAATTGACATTTTAAGATTGACCGAAAAAAATTACGCCTATACCACTTTTGTGATAGTACTATGGAAATACTCTGTGGATGTGTCGAAAATGGAACACGCTGTAGATAAACAAAAAAGTTGTTGTAATAAAGGCCACCTTAAACAATGCGATTTTTGGGCACAACAATAATGCGTTGAAACGAACCCATGATGTCGCTAGGAAGAGCACATGAACTCTGTAAGAATCTTTGGAAACGTCATAAAGAAATTATGGCAAGAGCAGCTTCGGAACGAAGTCTAGGTGCTATGGAAGGAAATAAGATGTGAAGAATTGCATACGATTTTTAGCAGGGAATTTTTTGCCACTCGGCTCGCATTCGGAAACCACATATTCAATAGCCCCTGATCCTTGAACTCGTAGAAATCGATTGGTGAATGTTTTACATCGCCGTCTATATTCGGTTCTCAAGTTAGATGAGAAACAGACGGACAGACAGATGGACATAATCATCGCATAAGGGAAATTCCCTGGGAAATTCCCTTTAAAAAAAATTACCCTAAAAACTACTCTCGAATGGCGGCGCTATAGACCCCTGAAAATTACTTAGGACGTCAATGTTCTTTTACACAAATCACAAATTTGCGCAATAATAAACAAACAACAAATAAAGACCAAAGACACACGCTACGCAGCGACACAGGCAGTCGATCCAAACAGGCTAAACTTTTTTTTTAATTACATACAAATTGTTCACAATCCAAAAATCCAGTCTTACACTTCAATTCCCAATTCAAATTTGCACAAACAACACAAATACTAAACTGCGTTCTTCTTAGGAAACTCAATTTCTTTACACACAATAATACAAACTCTACTATTTTCTTTCCAGACGACGCGATGTATCAATAAAACTCTTAAATCACTACACTTCATTAACCAACAACTGACTACTCTTGCAAAATACAACTGTCATTAAAAACAACCAAAAGCGTTCACTCCTTTTGACTCATGTACACAAATTCCCATTAACTTCAGCTACGTGCAGAACTTCCTAATAACCACGCATATCTCTAATCTAAAGCGCGCACCTGCGACAATATCTGTTTACAAAATTAAACAACGATTTAGCGATTAAAAAAACTCTTATCGCAATCACATGAGTTTGGAAAATGCGCCAAAAATATAAAAGGCGTTATCTAGCAATTTCAAGTGATTTCAGGAACACATTAAGTTAGCTGCTTAGCGCCTTCTGTGCACTTTGTTACGCTAATAAGCTCTCAAGAAACATAAAAAAAGGACCTAAAAGCCTTAAAAAGGGTCTAGGGATCCAGTATATTAAAAAAAAACTTTAGGACAGCGTATGAACGCTCTAAGAATGCAACACAATGCCCTAAAAAATTCCTTCTAATGGTAACCTCTCCAGAATTTAAGATTGTTCTACCGCATTCCATAACCATGATATCTTAAAAACACATTCTAAAGCTTTCTCTACTTAGAAGTGGGAGCGCTAAAAAAACCTGTAATGCGCTGGGAAACACGAGTCGGTAAAGCAAACGAAAATCTTTGAAAATACTAGTTGTTTCTAGAGTTAGGGAGTAGAGAGTCTGTAGAGCCCTGGAAAGGGTTTAAAACGCTATAATTTGTATATGAAGCCCTAGAAAGCCCCTCAAAGCTCGTGAAAAAGAGTTGACGGCCTTCAGGTGGTTCTCAAAAAGGTCATCTAAAATGCTTTTCAAAGACACATAACTCTTTGTAGATCTGTTAAACGTCTTCTTTGCATTCGACGTGGTAAAAGGTCACGCATAAACTTTGAAAAGTAGGTATACAGTTTTGGGAAGAACATAGTAAACTCTGAAGTTTCTGAAAAGGACTTATGCGACTCTGAGAGGGCAGTAAGCAGGATTTAAAAAAGAAAAACGCCTGGAAGACGGTGAACACGATCTAGCTTTGTAAAACGTTTATGCCCTTAGAAACACCCAAAATATTCATTTTCACCTATTTTTTGGGATCCATCAGATCTTGTCTAGAATTTTGGAGAGTATTTCCTATTCTGAACACTTTGCAGAGTTGGGAATACTGAGGCTGAAAAGCTCTGGAAAAGAGGTTCAATATCATGCTATGAAAAAGCACGTTAAATATCAGGATAGGGTCTTAAAAAAAGCTCTCCGAAAACCTTCGATTGTTCGGGAACGCTTTCCAAGGCCTTCTACTACATTCCAGAACCATGGGCCGTTCAGGCACATTCTAGATCTTTAAGGCCTCTAAAGGTCTAGAATGTACCTAAACTAAATGGGGTGGATATAGGTGACGCTGTAAAGGGTTTGTGAAAGTTTGGAATCGGAACAAAGAAATTCTACCAAAAACGCTCTGAAAGGGACTTAAAAAATAGCATGGCGCTAGGGAACTTTAAAGATTGCCTAAGACGCCTAGAAAATATGGTGAAAAGCCCTAGAAGCCTCTTTAATTATAGACCTGGAATGAATATGTAAGTATTCAATACTTTATAACACAATTCATACGCGTCTGAAAAGCTTTTGAAAGCCCTTTCCCAGCTTAGGTTTTTTCCAGAGCTATATAGGAGCCGTCGAAAAGGAAAGAAAGGCCTTAAAAGCTCATTAGCAAGGGGCTTCCAGTGATACAACTTGAAATAGTGGTTGCAAGTGTAGAGATAATTATGCATCATTTTTTATATCTATTATGATAGACAGTTACGAAATAGCCCATATTCCACAATAGACAAATACCGATGCGCAATTGACACGTTTTGTTATTGTCCGTGTAAGATTTTAATAGAAAATAAAGATAAACTTTAACAGGACAAAGTGGGGAAGAATAACATCTGAAAATTTAAAAAAAATTCTGGTATAAGATTAAACGCATACTTATTCCAAATTGGCAGAAAGATAAACGAAAGATGATGGCAAAAGCAGATATTGTTTTCTTTTATTATTCCTAAAGTATTACACTAACTGTAAGTAAAGTCGGTTGATCAAGTCTATTAAAAAAGAGGTACCAAACACGTTTTCAAATTAAGCACAAAACGTACTACATCTCAAATTAAAAGCATTTGAAACTTGAATGTTTTCAAATACAAAAAATATTGCCACCACAAGAATAGCTACTTTACATAACGTCTTTGCACTAATGGGTGTCCATGCCAGGATAGGCACTAAAACGAATGCATTACAACAATCCTAGGAGGTATAAAGTTTGACGCAATTTCGGCCCACTGGACACAGTATATAGATTGAACGTTATTACCATCTAAAACTCTGATTAAAAACTGGTTTGTATTTTGAACTTTTAGTACCGACAGAAATAATTACATAAATTAATCACGCTTCATTTTATGTTCCTTTGTTAAATGTATAACAAAGAGGGATATGTGGGTATTCACAATAAGAATCTGATTGCAAAATGGTGTACCAACAACTGGGTATCAATGAACCATTAGTCTTCGCGGATACACATTAAAAGTATGTCTCTTTAAAATTTATCTATTATTCAATCTAAATTATCTATCGAAAATTTCATAGGAATATTTAAATTTTATGTACATTAAATCTAACTACATTTACCAGTATTTTATTGCTGTTCTAAAAGTCAAATATTTTTATGGGCTACGTACGAGTAAACATATTTGGTAAGAGGCAATTTGTATGGAAATTTAAAAACAACTCCGAAAATTATTCGTACATTTACTGCTAATTTTCAAGTGATTGCGCGCCTGTCTTATTATTGATTGTTGTTACTTTTTGGCAAACTCGGCGACAAGGCTGAATTACAAATGGAAAAAATATAATTTATAATTATTTATTGCCAAGCATAATTTATGGCAACTGATCTACTGAATTGTTATTATTTTTTAAATACGCATTGTTTATTGTCAAGAAAATAAATGATTTAAGTTAATGCTCAATTATAAACTACGTCAATTTCAATACGATATTCACATACTCCAACGCTCGATTCGAAGATATATGGTACCACTTCATTATTCATTATTTCAAATAGGTAATTCGTGAGTCAAGTACTTTTAATAGCATTTTTTTTAATATTAATAAATGGTGTAGTGATCAATTCGGTTTTTTCAAGAAACACTGCAGGATAGCGTTTATAATTAACGAAGTGATAATCGTGTAATACGTGGGAATATCGCATACATAGTCATTGCGTATGGGGAAATTTATTATGAATGAAGACAAATTACTCACAATTTTTTAATGGAGCAAGGAACTCCTGGTCATTGGCGTTAAAAGTGGAATACCAAGTAGCTAAAGTTAGGAATCTGCAGAAATTGTGCACTAAATTCTGTGGTAATCTTTCGATTGTATTATTTGGTATTGTGCTAATAATAATCGATCTTAGCAAAACTTAGAAAATAATTGGTTGACATGGGGTAACAATGAGAGCCGAGAATGTTTCATCCTTTTTACAGGTTGCATTCGATGTTCAGTGCAACATCCATAGTTCCGGATTGATGAAGTTTTTACCGTATTAGTGATACATAACCTTGTGACTGTAAAAGAAAGTCATAAATTAATAATTGCTAATTTATTTAATAGCGTTCAATTTGGTGTTAATGGATAACCAACTGAAAATAAAGATAAGTTTCCACTGTCAGTTTAATTTGCCGCTAAATACTTTTTATCTAAAATCTGGTTGCCTCTTTCTGATAATTTTAAATACTTAGGATGTACTCGGGATTTTACCTAGTTATATGGATATTCTCTTTCCGATTTTGTAAAAAACATTTACCTCCAAACCTAGGCAAACGCCCTTCATTGCATCTTGCTATGTGTTACGGTTGCTGAGAAAAGCATTAATGAAAACACAGCACTATCCTCCCGAAATATTAAATTTTTAACTCAATTTGAACCCATTGAGGGATACTTGCTCGCAACAGTATGATCCAATAGAAAGCAATCAAACACATAATTTTGCTAATTAAGGACAAACATTGTATGATATGAAGATAGCAAGATGTGCATACGTAGCCTATGGTCGTTACTTCTCTATACTGTATTGCGATCTTATTCTTGACCCATATTGAATATTTTTATTCAAGTAGAATTTCTTTGCGAAAAAATTCAAATGGAATTTTTGGAATTGGGTAAGGGGGTAACTACCGGTTCTCCTATATGGTTTTAATTTGTAGATCCGTTTTAATCGCTGATAATAAAAACCAACTGCCGAACATTATTGTACCTAAAGTTTCTAATTGTTCCCGTAGAGATATTTTAATTATTCTTGCAGCCTTCGAAAGTTCTCGTCCATTAATAGAAGAGAGAAGCTTAATATTGTATGATTTCAGTTCTTTTCATTCATTAACAACCGATTTTTTTTCTTTTGTTTTTATTTTAGGTTAGCGCTAATATTAGTTTTATAATTAGGGATTGTTTTGGGGTTTTGTTGGTGGTTTTTATACCAGTAGCGTTAAGCGTACTATTCGCTTTTTGTTGTGATTGTAAATTATACCGAAATTCGCCTTTATTTCTCCTATGTGTATCGTTCCGTTTTTATTGGTTTTGTTCATTTAATACCTTACTATCCTTACCACTCATGCACATTTTCAAATCGCCTTTCTTGCTACGTTCTGTGTCGCATTTTTAGTTTTCTCTGTAGCGTCCTCTATTGTTTGTTTGTTGCACTGATTTTCCCACTTCACGTTTATTTTCCCGCCTTTGGTTATTTTCGCCTATTGTCCGTTACTTTTTGATTTTTCCCCAAATTTTTTCCTTGATTACGTGTTTCTTTTTATTTTCCGGAGACCAAGCCTCAAGGAAAAGCTATTATTTTGGGAGAGGCCCACATTTTGGGGATTTGCGTTATCCATTTACATAAATAAAATAATATCTAAAAATTATTGATTAGTATGATATTGTAAATATTAGATCTAGCAACCAGTTTGCCTATTGCTTGAATTTTTAATTTATTTTACATTTTTAGAAATTGTATCATTTCCTCCCTAGTCCTCATCCCTTTTCCTCTCTTAATTCATTTCATTAAAAAAAAGAAAACTGCAAACAATTTGTCATATTACCAAATTTATTTCATACAATCAATCGCAGGCAAGATTAAAGCTACAAGTTTCCTCCAATTTGGGTTTGTCCCCCCCTTTTAGCCTTAGCTTCCTTGACCATCACAGCAACTTTCCCATTTTTGGATACGGCTAACAGGGAAACAAAAGTCAGTGGCGCCTAAAATATAATCTCACATAAACGTATCTCAGTGAGCAGCCGCAGCCGTGGTTAGGGATATTACTTTCTTTTTGGTTTATCTTGTCCCCTTCATTTTCTGTGTCCTTGACGATGTTACAAATTCTAAGGTCGTGCAGACGTGCAGTTTATTTTACTATCGCAGAAATTCCATGTATCACTGGGAATTACTGAGCTACCGAATTTTGAAATTTAATCCGACCTATTAAGTGAATATAATTAACCGTAGTTCATTAATTGTGTTGCAGAAAACTTCGTTTGATTAGATTATGCCCAGTGTCAATAGAAGCGCACTTAATTAATACAGTTTTTGAGATATGTCCCAGATCCTTAGGGCACCCAGGAAGCCTGGGAATTAAATACAGAAGTTATAATTTTTTTACGTTATCACCCGAGTACGCCGGCCGGCCGGAATTTCCGACGTTCCCTTGATATTTTCATTCCGGTAAGTACGCAACGGGGTTAGTTTTCCTTGTTCGTTTTCCGGTAGCTAGTGGAGACCGTTAGTAAATTTGTGCTTCCATTTGGAGGTGGGAAATTTCTACCGTCCCGTGTGCCGTAATTTTGTTTTAGATATTCGCCGAACACCAAGTCCATTTGCTCGAAAGATCCCTAGAGTGTTCCTCTCCGTCTGATTGCTCGTGGCTTCCGAAACTGATCCGAAACTTGAATAGCTTTTTTACTAAATCAAGAAAATGGTTTTGAGTGATGGAAATCTTTATTTGGATATTCAGAATTGTTTCTCTTAAATGGAAAAGATGAGTGGTTGCATTTTCCATGACTCTCCGCAGGACTTTCTGGGGTAACTCTTCACATTCCTGTCGAATATTTTTAAGGACTGACCTGCTATTATCCGGGGAGTATAGGACGGGCGATCTTGCTAGCCATGCCAAATCGCCAAAACGGGAGATTTGTGTGTATGTGCGGTTGTAGCGTTTTGTTGAAACCACGTACTCTTCAAGCCCAACTCGTCCAATCCCGGCAATAAGAAGTAACCGCGACCTTATTGCAGTCCTAAAAAAAATACGGCCCTCTCCAGTGAAAGCCGCAGCATACAGTGTGGTGACACATGTGTTTTCTGTGCCCCAGAAACGAATATTTTGCTTATTCACACAACCGCTCAAGTTAAATTGTGTCTCTTCGCTCATGAATCGGCTTTGTAGCTCAGTGGTAGAGCGTTGGGCTACAAAACCGAAAAAAAATCCTACAATATGATCGAGCCCAATTGTGAACCTAAACCATTAAAAAAATTTCCCCAAAATCCGTCCAGCCGTTTAGTGAGCTATCCGGGTCTTCTCATCAACACTAAGTTACCCATACCTATCTTGTGCAAATGTCATAACCGTACTAAACGAAAACCTGTAAGCGAGGCTTCAAGTTTCACATTTATTGCTTACGGCATTATAGTTACTACTATGATACCAAGTCATAATGTGCTTAAAATTAAAAAGACACGAAATATGCCGACAGTGAAGTATTAATTATTTCTTGACGCAGGGAAAACAAATTTTTGAAGCACGGAGGCCCAAAAACTAAATTTTGGGAGCCAGTGTGAATGCCTTCATTGATAAATTGTGGCCACAATTGCAAAAAGAATACAAGAGTATAGGCATCATGAGGTAATGTTATAAGATAGTGCGGGAGCTACCTCATGTCACGTGTGTAGTTGTAGGTCCCCTAAGTTTTTGAACGGATCCTTAATAAACACCTATAGGAGCTTAAAAAACATTGGTCACGTGATTGAGATCATGGTCGTTTGGTCGCCATATTTAAAAATGGAAGGCACGTTGCTAGATATTTTGTTTAATTATATCTTCCCATACCTTCGAGTTTAATTATTTAAAGAAAATTTTACTGATTTATGGAAGCCAAACAACATGAAAATGTATCACTACTTCTTTAAATTACTTATGTATAAGAATTGCATTGGTCCCAAACATTGCCTTTACGTTTACAAGTCACAACACATTATTTCCAACCTTTTACAGAGACATTCCATTACTCTGAAGCACGTCTGGCAATTAGGTACATGCCTTAGGAAAATCTTTAAGGTTCTGTGGATCTGTCACTTGTGGAATTAAAGTACCGTCATTTATATATGTAACCATAGTTCAAGGGATTAAGTTTTTTACACGGTTCTTGAAACTTGAAACTTTGACATATGCCTACCTCTCCCAAGAGCATAAATCCGTTTATAATATTGCAAATAGCTTCATTTTATGTGAAGATTGTGTTACGTTCTTTTTGCTCGTAATTCA